GCGGATGAGAAATGGCTCGTGTGCGTGTCCGCACTTCTGGCTCCCGGGACCTTTCTGGGAAGCTCTCAGGCCCAATCCTCTCATTACCGTAAATCACTGGCTCAGATTTCAGAGCCCGAAGGGACCGACCTGATCAGTCACGGACCCTCCGTGCCATCCTGCCTTAGGATTTCAGGGACGCCCGCCAAGGACGGAGAGCGGCGGGGGTGGGGGGCGGGGTTCAGCCCCATCCGTCCCTGGGCGCGGGGATCCAGCAGCAGCCTGGGGCGGGCTGGTGTTTCCAGCCTCTTGCGCGTGGTCCTGGCAGCCCTTTTCCCTGAAATTGCTTCGAGACCTTTTGTCTTTCTGATGTTTTTCCCAAGCCCTGCATATTGCCACGACAGACTTATTTTTTAGAGAGAAATATGTGCCATCATTCACGCCAAGGTACACACTTATTACAGGCCTGTGTGATCAAGCCCCGGGCAGCGGGTCTTAGACACGGCCCTCTCCGCCGCTCCCTGTTTCTGGCGCCGCCGTGGACTCTTATGCAGCTCCGAGAGGGTAATTGGGTTTCCAGTGAAAAGCACTGCGTAAATGCAAGACAGGCGGGGTCAAATTCATTGGCCTCCCGAGCTCTCGGCTGCCAGCACACGGGTATGACAGATTGTAACACGTGGACGTGGCAGCTGTGGTGGCCTCTCGTGTTCTCCCAGGCTCTGGGACCCTCGCAGTCCTCTGGCATTTCAAATTTCTTTATTTTGAAACTCCCGTAACCGATTCAGTCCCAAGATGCTCCAGGCAGAGTGGGGGAGGTGGGGGAGCGGGGGCTCAGGGACATCTCCAAAGCCTCGGATGCAGGCCCTGGTGCCCACTCGCCTGGTGCCAGAGCCGGTCTTGGAACCTACGGGGAGGACACTGACCTTGAGCCCAACTTGCCCTTTCTGATGGCTCCTCTCTCTGCAGAGTCGTGTGCGGAGATCGAAAGAGGACTTGTTTGCAGGTTTCCTTGATGGAAGACGTGGACTCCACCCTGGCCGGTGTGGCTCTGCCGTTAGAGCGTCGGCCCGCAGACCAGAGAGACCCGAGTTGGGCTCCCGCTAAGGGCACGTACCTCGGTTATGGTTTGTCCCCAGCCCCAGTTGAGGTCCTGTGAGTGGCAGCCAGTCGATGTGTCTCTCTCACATCAATGTTTCTCTCTCTCTCCATCCTGCTCTATCTGGACATAAATGCAAAAAAAATGTCCTCAGGTGAGGATAAAAAAAAAGAAGTGGGCTCCAATCTAAAAAGCCTTTGACACGTGGACATTCTCTCGGGCTCACTTGGGTCTATAGTTCTGAGATGTGGCTCCCAGTGAACTCGCTGCCACAGGGCCACCAAACAGGGTTTTCTCCTGCCTGGGGCCACTCAGTGCTGAATGCTTCTCCACCGAAGAAACCTGAATCCTTTGTTTTTTGTTTTTCTTAACTCCTCACCCGAGGATATATTTTTTTCCATTTATCTTCAGATAGAGTGGGGGAGAGAGAGAGAGAGAAACATTGATGTGAGAGAGACACATCGATTGGTTGCCTCCTGCATGACCCCGACCAGGGCCGGAGCCTGAGCTGCAACCGAGGTCCATGCCCTTGATGGGAACTGAACCCACGACTCTTTGGTCTGCAGGCTGACACTCTGACTGCTGAGCCAAACCGGCTCAGAGAAAACCTGTATTCTTCATGAAGCGTTCGGCCTTTGAGGGTTGAGTCACAGGGCTGACTGAATGCTGAGCAGTCACCTGGCTGGATTCCCACTCGCTCCCCGTTCTATTGGGCCAAGAGAAGCCGGAGGGAAGTTACCCAGCTGAGTGGGGTGACGGTCATCGGCCATCAGGGAGGTCTCCGGTAGCCATGGGTTTCCCTCCTCCCCATGCAGCGTGTGGTGTTCGCCCAGGATTGTAACAGTCCCCTTAACCGACTCGCCGCATCAGCCACCCCTGTCCTGTGCCAGGTGACATCTGGGAGGCCGACACGAGGCTCCTGACAAACAGGCCACTCTGTCCGTCATCCATGTCCCTCTCTTCTTACACTCCAGCCGCGCTCACCAGGGGGATGTGGCGTTTGGGTCTGTTGGTGCCATCTGTACGCATGCCTGAAGAGCCACGTTGTCTTCGAATGTGATGTAAGCCGACATAATATAACTGAGCGAAGGGGACTGACTTCTGTGAGTTAGGTGCTTGGGGACGGGGAGGGTCCACAAAACGCTGAGTGTGAGAAACGAGGTGCAGAGCGGCGTCCGCAGGGTTCTGCAGTCAGGTCCCCACACCCCGCCTTGTTTCTAAGGCCAAGGAAAGGGGGCGTGGTCACGGGACAGAACTCTGCCCCCCCGTGGGCCTCCCCTCAGCAGTGTTGTCGCTGTAAATCGGGGGGCTGTGAGGTCTCCACCTATATGATTCAGGTGGAGCAGCTCAGCTCAGGTGTGATGGCTCTTCGGCCTGGTCTTTCAGTTAACTGACCACAGGCGGGCTCTCCTGCCTCCTCATCTGAAGAGCTCAGGAAACTCCCTTCCAAAGTCAATACTAAGGGTAGGGTCACTGTTAACGTTCACGTCGACACATGACATCGTCAAGTTAGCAGCTGTTAACTTTTAATGACTTCCAGCCTGAAGTCACAGGGCCGCTGGGAGATGGAGTTTGAGGAGCCATATGTACGTTCTACGTGGTGGTCACTTCGGGCTCTTCGTCCGAACTGATAGTTGGAGGACTGACTTTGCGGGGGGCCGGGGGACCTTCCTGTTCCCGCTGCAGGCGTCATTTCTGTTCACGGCAGGAGGTGGACTTGGGGGTTGTGATCATCACTCTGATGGAGAGATTCTGAACTCGTTTCCTGAAGGAGAGACCGAGCCCCCTCTTTCTCCGGGACCGCTGTCCTGGGAGCCTGGCTCACGTAGAGGCGGACGGGTCCGCGTGCCGTCTCCACCCAGCTCCTGCAGACACACGTCACCAAGCCAACAGCCCCTCCAGCCACGTCTGTGGTGAAAAGGTCTCTATGAGCAGATGCACATCTCCCCATGTTCTCTGCGACCGCTAAGGGGCCGCGGTGGCTCAGTGCCGGGGTGCGGATGCCCACGGTTCTTCGGAAAGGGGGCCAGAGGCCGGTTGTAAGGGGTTCACGCAGGAGGTGGTTTGAGCCAATTCTAAACAGTAACCACTCAAGGGTAATTTTCTGAGAAAGACAAGTTCCTGTTCTTCACAGGCCTGTTAAATCGCTTTTAATATCACTTTTAATGTAGGTTCCTTCTGGATTTAGAGCCAAATTTATTTAAATTACTTCAGTTACATTGGAGAGTGTCCTAATAAATCCTTTCCAATCGCCCACAGAATGGTAAATGGGCTCACGCGCACCACGCTCGCCCCAAACCTGCCTGCGCGTCTCTGCTCACGTCTGCTGCGTTCAGACTGGATGCGCAGCAGCCCGGAGTCCCGGCTACAGAACCGTGAGGACCCGCATCGGGCACCCACGTTCTTCCCGATTTCCCACCGGCCAGTCAGTGAAGGGAGAGTGCAAGTTGGTCACATCCCTTCCCCTGATTCAGGGCTGCCTCTGAGGTCATCTGAATTTTGTCGGCGTTGTTGACACAGGGAACTTGCCGGGGTGCTGGCTTTTCCCGGCCTCTTTGGGAATGTCGAGAATCACACCAGCACGGGGGTGGCGTGCTGCCCGGGGTTCCCCGGGACGCTGCAGTGCGCCTGTGGCTTAGTCCGCTGTCACCCACCAGGCAGGCCTCGGCCTCAGCGCTCCGGACACCCTGGACCGATGACTGTCCTGGAAGCCATCCTGCGCATCCTCAGATGTTAGCAGCATCCCTGCCGCGCCCTGCAGGTGCTCAAAGCACCTCCCCGGCGGTGACAACTGAAACTGTCTCCCTTCAGACCTTGCCCGATGTCCCCCAGGAGGCAGTGTCCCTCTGTGCATGACCGCTGCCCCGGGGCTGGCGTGACATTGGTGCTGTCTCTGCTCTGTGCTCTCTTTTCCCTTCTTCCAGACCAGGCCCCGGGGGAGCCGGTGCGGCGGGGAGACCCCTGGGCCCTGCCTGCGAGGTCCTGCCTGCCCCGGAGACGTGCGTGGGCCCAGGACTGGGGGGGTTCGGGCTTTCTGCCATGTTGAAGACGCCCTGTCCCTGTCTCCCCCTTTTTGATGAGAAAACAGTAAGTTCGGAGATCCGTTCAGAAGGCGCATTTGGGGCGGGTAGGGTTCCTTTACCCACGTCTAGGTATATAAAACTCTGCAGTTAGAAGTGATTTTGGCAATTTGGCAAATCAACTAAAGTGGTTCATCTTCAGGCTTCATTTTAAAACTGAACTACATCACGCCGCTCCTATCTTGTTTTTTGAAGATTGCATTTCCAGAAAGGAATAATAATAATAAAAGAAGAAGACAGTCACCTCTGAAGGTGGTGACTGTGTCCTGAGATCCTAAATTATGGACAAAAGCTACCCTAGCTTTGCCTGTTGGAAGTTCCCGCCATTTTACGGATGGGGGGACTCTGACAGACTTCAAATGGAAAGATGTGGGGACCAGCTGTGTGGGTCCCAGACGGGGTTACGCCCCAGGACGTACACACTCCGTGAGTTCCCAGGACATACACTGAACATGGGGTGTAAGCAGCCTGGGTCTCCGTGGTGTTCCTGGCACACCCGGGGTGGTGTCCAGCCTTCCGTCTGCACCATCTGAGCGGCTCATACCACACCGCTTTCCCGAAACACACGGTACAGGGCTCCTGGCTCTGGGTTCTGAGGGAGCAGGTCGTCCAACTCAGACCCCTTGAGAATCCACTAAGCTGTGTCTGCAAGATAAACGAGTTCACGCTCGCCCCGGGATCACACACCTGGGGTTGAGCCTTTAGAAGGAGCTTAGAATTAGGGTCAGGGAACGCCCCTTACTTTCTGCCGGACGGAATCCTCCCCGCACGGCCCCAGTGAGCCTGGCCTTTGTGCGCACACGTCCCTCGTCACTCGACGGAACGCGGGAAGGACGCCGACATACCTGTAGATGACACACGCGCTGTTCCTGCACGTGTCGCAGTTGGCTGTGTCCTGCCCCGTCCGATAGGAAAGCCTATGGGACAAGAACAGGAGAGCATTACAAGGGTGGCCGGGGGCGCCTGGCTCGTCCAGAGCGGACACCTCACGTCGGTCGCGTTCCCAGAGCCAGCCCGCGGCGTGGCGACGGAGCCCGACGTGTGCGTGCGTCCCGCTTGGCTCTGGGGTCCGCGTTTGCACACCCCAACGCCGCAGCTAGAGCTGAGATGATACTGAAATTAAATTGAGAATGTGAACCCAGGCTCCTGGATGCAGTAAGTAATCTGATTTGGTTAGAAGCAGAGGGAATGTGGGGTGTTTCTGTGCAGCCTTACATTTGTCGGGTTTTAAAGTAACTGGGAGGGAAAACCAGCTCCAGAAAGACATGGAGGCTGCGTCTGCCCCGAGACCGCCCAGCCTCCCGGACCAGGGGTCTGCACACCGCTGCCCTCGGGTCACATCCCACCCTTGGCCTGGCTTTGTCCAGCAAGCTAAGAATGGATTCCACATTTTTAAATGGTGGAAAAAAATCAAAAGAATGATAATATTCGGAACACATGAAAATCAGATTTCAGTGTTCATAAAGGAAGTTTTAAGACAGTGAAAATAATTTAAAATGTTTCTAAAAGTACCTACACAATATCCTCGGCTCTGCCTCTTGGTTTGCAAATCCCACAGTATTTGTGGAAGGCTGTATAAACGCAAAGGTTTGATACCAGAATTTCCTTGACCAGGCCTTGAATATAACAGCAGTCACCCCGAGATGCTAGTAAGGGGGTTCCTTTCACATTTTCTCTTAACCACTTCAGCTGGCCTTTACAATGTCTCTACCATGCTGGTGTGTGTTTTTCTGAATGTTCCTTTGTACCCGGGGATAGACAGAATAACCAGATCTGTTCAGTTTGTGGCCGAAGAGAAGCTTCCACCCGATTGGCTTGTACACACTTTGGGGGCGGGTTTCCATTTGGGGGTCACTCATCAGCGTGGTCGTGTGCACAGAGGCTCTCTGTCAACACACTCACCGGGGTTCACACCCTCGCGGTGCAAACTTCTCCTGTACGCATCGTGGGCTTGGAAGCGAAAATAACTGGTGTTTTCCTCATTATATTGTGTGTTACATAAACATTGGACAAAGGATTTTCTACTCAGTGCCCCGCTGTCTCTGAGCTTTGGTGAAACTGGGACTCGACCTTGGAGTTTGGTGCATTTTATTTATTGTTCGAGTGACCACATCCTGCCCCGAAGTGCTGCCTGTCGTCGTCTGTGACCCACTCTGGTTGAGCCAGAACTGGACTCACAGTGTGGGGGGCATTTGGGTTGACCTTCATCCACCATCACTTCCCTTTTAGGGCCCCTTTGGAGCCCACCTTGGCTTTTTCCTCTGCCCTTGACTTTGCTGGGAGAGGCAGAGTGAAGAACCCGTGTGTGACCCCCTTCCCTTTTCCTTCACCAGCCCCCCTCTTCACAACACGCCCAGGGGATGCTTGTCCGGAAGCTTCCCACCCGGCTCCAGGTTTGCAGAACCGTCACCAGAGCCCCTCCGGCACTGACCTCTCCATTCTCCACGCCCGTTTCTATCAAATGCCCTTCTCCATGCCGCTCCCCGCGCGAGGGCTTGGCCCTAAGCTCGTGCTGACCAAGGTCATGCCGCGCGGTGCAGTGAGCACAGTGCTCGAGCACGCGTCCTGGCCCTGACGTGCGTGACGTGGCCTGTGTCGTCACACTGTCGGGGTTGCAGGCGAGGGACTGCCCCACCGTGGTGTGCCCACCCCCTGCCAGGGAAGAGGGTGCATGACAGGTGTCTGTGTGCTGGTCAGCTCCACACCGCACACTTTTTCCAAGAAAACAGGCGGAGGGCAGGGGTCATTTTTTAACCCTCGTCTGAGGGCACAGAGAACCTTCCTGTCCTAGACCTTGGGACAAATGTCTTTCAAGCATCAACACCCCTTCCTTGTCTTATATCGTAGGTTTTCCACACGTCTCCCTACATTAGAGCCTTGAGTCCTCAAATTTATTATGCCCCCCGCATCCTGCAGAGGAGGGCACAGTACCGCTTCAGTCCCGGGTCTCACTGCTGTGCGCCCCCAGGCTTCGGGCGCTCCCAATGCCCTTGCCCCTTCTGACTGGTGTCCTGCTCTACTTGTTACTACCAGCCGGGGCCGGCCAGGGAATCCCACCCACAGTGACCAGCAAAGGCGCTGGGCACCTGACATGCACAAGAGGACTCTCTCTAGGACCCTGGGGTTCTCCCGTTAGAATTACTTTCCTAAGCCCTACTGAAAAGACTGTTCTTACCACCTTGTGAAAAGCACATTTCTTCCCTGTTGTGGTCAGTAAGCAAACAGCTATGAAGTGCCTACTAGGTGTCAGGCTTCATTCTGGCTCCTGAGGAGACACCTCTGAACAAATCTGAGCTCTGTCCTTCCCAAACTTACGGTAGGATGGGAGACGCAGACCAGCCACAGGCAAACACAGGAAGAGATGGTGGATGGATGGGTGGGTGGTTCCATTTTGATACTTCTGGGTGCTAGGGGAGTATTGTGGAGGGGGCCTTGGCTAGCTCACTGAGGACAGGTGGTTTGAAATAAAACCTTAATGATTTTAAAAAAAGCAGTTAGTCATCAGACGCTCCCAGGATGAGTGCTGTACGCTGGAGGCCCACCATGTGAACATCGCCATGGGGATGGCGCTGCCATGTTTGCAGGACAGAAGGGGGACCCGTGTGGCTGGGACAGGTGGAGCAAATGGCAGAGGATGGAGTGGAGATTATGCAAAATAGGAAGCTCTTTGGACATTATTTCAAATGGGATGGAAGTCCACTGTAGTTTATCTTCTCGGTGGCTGAAGGACATGGAAACGCGTCCTCGTAACCCCCTCTCTCAGCTGTGTCCTCCTCTGGCTTCGCGCATCCGACTTCCTTTCTCGCTTCTTGCATTGACCACCCTGCCTACCTTGCTCAGTCCTGACGTACGTATGGTTTGGCCGATGTCTGCTCATACGGAGCAGATGAGTCACTCTGTCTACTCTATATGGAGACATATCTGTGGTCCGTCTTTTATTAGCTGATTTAAAAGAGACACTGGTGGTCGGTCAGAGTTCCACCAGGTCTGAGCAGATTTCCAGGATCTCACTGTCATGACCTTTCCTCGGAGAGACCCATGCTTCTCCGGTTTTGTTCCAGACCTTTCTTTAGTTTAAGGGATTCAAATGTTTGGGGTCTGTAGAGGTAGTTTATGGAAATGGAGGTCAATGAGAGATTAATTTGTGGGTAAAGTTTAAAGTGTGGCCTGGTGTCCTGTGGTTTGGTCACAGGCTGCCTCAGCAGCTAATGCCAATCAAGGTGCGCCTGCTAAACTTTTATTAGGCACGAGGGGGTTCTCGACCGAAGGCTTAAACCTGTGCAGTCCATTGTGTTTATTGCTTTGATAACCCATCTAATTGTCCTTGGAGCTTCCAAGCTGTAGGGTTTGGTTTTGCTGATCATTTCATGGTCACATTAGTAACTGTGTTGCAGCATGTGAATGGATGTGTTCCCCAAATATGGACGAAACTGGTGAGTTGTTTCTACAGGATAGAGAACATAAAGTACCGTTAGGGAGTTTTGCTGGTTTTTCCTTCTCCCTTGGAAACAAGTCATAAAACCAATACTTGGCCTGGCCGGTGTGGCTCAGTGGTTGAGCATCAACCCATGCACTAATAGGTCGCCGGTTCGATTCCTGGTTCGGGCACATGCCCAGGATATGGGCCTGATCCCCAGTGAGGGGCAGGAGGTGGCCAGTCGATATTCTCTCAGTAATATCTCTGTCTCTCTTTCCCTCTCCCTTCCTCTCTCTCTAAAATCAATAAAGAAAAAAAATATTTAAAAAAACCCCAATACTTGGAATGATTGTCTTTCTAGATCACTGTTGTCACCCGGAGGAGCAGAAGCTTCTCAAGGGACAGCAGGGCTAGAGCTTCTGTGATGAGTTCGGAGAAGAGAACTTGCGTTATTGGTATACAAGCTGCAGTGGAAGGAAGTCTTGAGTAAAAACTATAAATTTTCAGCCTTGCAGGTTAATTGCCGCATTGGTAAATCTCTCTTCCCCTTTGACTTGAGGAACTTATTACCTTATATAGGTTTCTAATCCTGTGCCTGTCACAATGCCAGGTACACCCTGGGGGTTTAGTTAATATTAATTTAGCCAAATAAGACAGTCTTTGCATTCTCATATTGAAGTTCGGTGAGAGACAAATCTAATGAAAAAAAATTCCAACTGAATGCAAAAAGCAAATGAAAAGTATAAATTGTGAAAGCTCTGGCCCTCGCTTTTTCCCCATTAGGAACACATAGGACCCGGATGACAAGCGTGCTCACAGTAAATATGGATTTTTTCCATGCACTGGTCTCTGAAGTATTGTGTATTTGTTGTCCTGTTACACTTAGCTGCCATTTGTCAGTATTTCCTGGTCTTGGCAATGTAGATGACTTGGAAAACACACAAACAAACGTTCAGCACCAAGGACAGCGCCGAGGGTCCAGGATAATCTTCTCAGTACTTTGTTTCCCTGACTCTTTTGTTTTTCACCCCCACTCCCCCCAGAACACAGTTCCAACTCAAGGACCAATTCTGGGGCCCTGAACCTCTCCTCCCTTGAAGCCCTTCGGACACCACTGGTCTTGGTGGACTTCACTGAAAGGCGAAGGAGACATGAGCTGTGAGACAGATTTACCTAAAAGCTTAGACCCTGTGGAAGCACACAGAGCTGGGGTTGTCGCTCCAGACTTGTTGAAGCAGAAGGTTTTGCACAAGCTATTGTGACCACGTCGTTTTAGTGGAGTCAAGTTTTAAAGTCATTTGCACTTCTGCTTTGCCGTGAGGCCGAGTTCTTCACGAGATCTTGTTCTCCCTCGAAGAAAGTGCAGTGAGGTCGTTTATGGAAGACGGCCTGGGGCTCGCGCTTTGGAAGAAAACATCCGGGGTTCCTTTCTTTAGTGGCCCCTAATTCTCAAGTTCAGTTTTGCAAGCAGGCTTCTGAGTCATCTGCTCCACTTCTGTA